CGGGCCTTAACTGTGGCTCATCAACCGTTCTAACAATCTTGCCTTAGATACCTCTCAGAGCCGGGCGGTGGTGGCGCACGCCTTTAATCCCAGCACTCGGGAGGCAGAGGCAGGTGGATCTCTGTGAGTTCCAGGCCACCTGGTCTACAAAGCCAGTTCCAGGAAAGGTGCAAAGCTACACAGAGAAACCCTGTCTTGAAAAACCAAAATAAATAAATAAATAAATAAAAAGATACCTCTCAGAAAGGAATTAGGGTCTCTATCAAGGCAAGCAGTTTTATTCTGTGAGTTGTGCTGAAATTCTTGAACCTCAGTCAGCAAGAAATGTAAACCAATCCTGGGGTGGGCGTGGTTCCTTTTATTTTTTTCATCATTCCACACTGCCTTAATAAGTACACTATAGCTTAATAACTAAAACCACCATATAATTGATATATAAAGAAGAGAATACTCCTAGCACGGGAAGCTCCTTTCTCATCAGTAGCACTTCAAAGGGCTGTCTTCATTGAATATATTTTTATTTTTGAATTTTTATGTAAACATATTCATATTTAATACTATAAACACTGGACTCCAATCTCTGATTTGTGCAAAGGACATTGTAGTCCAGACATTGAGTTCCACTCACCCTCTATCTAAATTTCTGACTTACAAAATAAGGCAAGATGTCATTGAATTTCTTATACAGAAAACTTAAATAATCAAAATTTAAAAGTCGCTTCAATACTACATGATTAAGTTGTTGTCTAGGCTGCTTTATCTGCCAAGAGGGCGGCTTCCCAGCTCAGGAAGTTCCGGCCATGTTCTATTGAGAGTAGGTTCCCTACTACTCATCCCATTAATGAGTCATTCTGCTGGTCACTTAAAATACTGATAAACCAAAGAAAAATGTAATAACTTTTTAATTTACTTGGAAGAAAATAAGATAGTATTCCCATCTTCTATAGGAGGTCAAAGACAACTGTATATAGTTATTCTAATTTTGCCAGTCAAAATTCTAGTACTGAATGGGAAGGGGTTCATGAGAACACCTAACTGAGAACCAATACACAGCTGAAAACTTCTGGGAAAGAGTCAGTTTTAAGGATGTGGAGCCCAGTATATTAACCATACTCGTAGGTAGATGGTCTCACAGCCCAAAGCATAAGGACAACACAAACTGGAGCTGGTAGGTTATTGAAGGGCAGGGGGAAGAGAGAGGACACAAAGTTGCGGGGAGGGGTGTAGGGGGGTGAAGTGGATTTGGGGGGCATTAGGGCAAAAAGTTGGGAGTGAATATGATTCAAAATACATTACATGAAATTCTCAAAGAAAAAAAAACAATGGTTTTGTATAAAATAAGAAGGGAGAAAAAGGTTGGAGAAGAAAATGTGGGATAGAGACCAGTCAAGTCCCTCCTGAGAATAAGTGGATATAGTACCAAAACATGGATATGCCAGAAGATATTCAGAAGTAGAATGTAAAGGACTTCCCTACACATCCAATCTGGGAGTGAAGGAAGAGAAGCACTTAGGTTAGAGGTTGCTGGGATTTCCTAACAATTGCAGCACTTGTTGTAATTTCTCGGATTTGCTCAGGGAATTTGCCTTCCCAGATTTAGGGTGTAAGTGATCTTCAGACCCAAGAATTTTAACCATCAGCTCTACTGACTCTAATGGTGCTAGACTGTATGATTTGGAGGGTCCTAATTTGGAGAATTCCCAAGTTTCTGCTTTATGTAAGTGAATATGAGGCTAGGGTAGAGGAACTACTTACAGAAAAAGTAAATATTGATGGAAAAGAAAGCTTATGAACATGTTTGTTCCTCAGAGCCCTGCTGGGGTGGATACATATAGTAAGTAGTGAGTCATGTCTGCTGAGCAAAACGTGGTACTTAGTGTGTGGAATACTACAGGGCTACCCAAATGAAAGAACTCATTTATCAAGCATTGTATTTGCTCTGCAATCATGATTCCAAGTCAGTGAAGTGGTATGTGTAGTTCCAGCTACTAAAGAAACTGTGGCAACAGGATTGCTTGCACCCTAGGGTTTGAAGCTAGTCTAGACAAAATGGCAAGATTTTTGTTTTTAAAACAAACAAAATCGTATGATTCCATTTAGAGCATTGGAAGGTGTCCTTCCAAGTACACATCTAAGATGCCAGTGCTGGCTACTCCTCCGAAGACACCTCCTGTGCTCTTGATCTGTATGCTTAGCTTGTGCCATATTAGTTCCTCTTTTCTGATACTGACTTGGCTTACTTTCATACAACATTCAGAACTATTCAAGAACTAAATATACATTATCTAAAACAGTATTTGCATCCTTCCACTACCTTTTTCTTTTCTTTTTTCTTTCTTTTTTTTTTAAGAGTAGTTTTAGGTTCCTAGAAAAACTGAGATGCAGGCACAGATCTTCCCAGATCCCTCTCCTTGTAAAGAGCTTTTCTTTCTGGTACTTCTCAGTGTTCCAGGTCCATCTTATACTTACTTTCCCTGCCTCAATTCTTCAAGATGAATGGTGCCAGAAACTAAGACCTGGTTACCAGCTCATTGCTACAAGAATATCTTTGATTGTATGTCCTGGCAGCTTCAAAGCAAGGCCATGTACACATGTATTCTAACCTATGTATATACACACATCTATAAAAAAATCACTGTGTATAGTCATCTGTATTCACATTTACCTAAATATGAGTTTTCACTGTTGTGTCATACTCTAACCCATCGCCACATCAATCCTTCTTAGCAGATGCCCTTGCTTACCTTCAATGTCTCATTTCAACAGTGCAGGACTTGGCTCCCATCATTCACCAGAGGGTAACTTCATTGTTCTGCCCAGCTCACATAAAGCAGTAACAGAACTGCCAGTTTGCCTTACTCATTTTTATCCTTCACCTTGGTTTATTCTCTGCTATACTCTGTACCACTCAATAAACTTTTATATTCTATTTTCCTCTTCTATGACAATAAGATTTTCACTATTGAGTCCTCAGCTTTAAATCACTTTACACAAAGTAGGTGTTCAATTTTTTTTTAAAGAGCTGAACAATGAACAAATAAATGAAAACTTCTTTTGCCTATTATATTAATTAGGCTGAATCAGGAGGGCTTTTTCTAGCCAGCACTAGTATGTTGTTCAGCTTTGACATGCTGTGTCTGCTTCAACAAACTCATAAGCCTAGCGTGTAAATTAGATTATTTTAACAATTCATATGACTTCTCTCCACAATTGCTACAACTAAGCCACTTAACCAAATCAGTGATAATAAATTATCACCTACCCTAACTATTACCTTTTTTTTTTTTTCCGAGACAGGGTTGCTCTATGTAACAGTCCTGGCTGTCCTGGAACTTGCTTTGTAGATCAGGTTGGCCTCGAACTCACAGAAATCTGCCTGCCTCTGCCTCCTGAGTGCTGGGATTAAAGGCATATGCCACCACTGCCCAGCATCTCCTTAATTTTCAACCACTGCCAACTGAAACTTCCTATATACTGCTAATCTAGTTTAAATGTTCTAGAAATACTTTTGTTTCTGTGTAGTCTTGGCTGTCCTGTAGACCAGGCTGGCCTCAAACTCAGAGATCTGCCTGCCTCTGCCTCCCAAGTGCTGGGATTAAAGGTAAGTGTCACCATGCCCAGCTTCTAGACTTCTTTGTTTTGTTTTAATGTGCTCTAACTATCTAGTGACAAATATTCTTCCACCTAATCTGGAAACAGGAACAATATAATCACTATTTTAAGACCAAATCACACAGTTAATAAAGAGTTACATTTAAAAATTAAATGGTTGGTTTTAAATTAATCAGCTAAAAGAACTATGAAGGGGACTCAAAGAATGTTTGAGAAAAAAACATACAAATTTGCTCTTTTCCTGAGTATAAAAGCCCGAGGTTTAAGAAAAAAGACAGTAATAGGAAACATATGGAAAAGATTGGTAACAAAACGGAATCTTGGCCCAAGTGTGGTCTGCCACATTTCACATACCAATGTCTCAAATAATAGACTAGATGTTTACAATACTGCCAAAGCATCCTTGAAACACTGTATACATTTCTCAAATCTGAAATATAAAAATAAATTCTGTAAGTTCCTTATAAAGTCTAATAGAAAACACTATTTTGAAGAACCAAAAAAAAGAACTTCTCAAGAATCTCCTTCCAAAAAACTCAACATCTAACTCCAGGAGACACAGCTAACTCAATGTTTAACTATGAAAACATTAGCACAATTTCTCCTGCAGCAAGCAAGCTTGCTGGCTGGAACTCTTAAGGAGGGTCTGTCAGCAACAGGAAAGTTTCTAAATCCACAAAATGAAGTAGAAGTTATCGGGCAATAAAGCCTTTTCATTCTATCCCACTGAAAGACAAATGCACTATAAAATGACTTTGTGTACTGAGGGAAAAAAGCAAATTAGAGATATAGCTGCATAGTGCAACACTTTAACTTCTATAGCTAATTCATTTCTCTTTTAAAAGTTATTGGTAGCCTATTTCAATGAAAAAGTTGTGTCTTTAACCTGTGAAACCAATGTAATCTACTGCATTTTCAAAGTAAACTAGGTGTGAAGTACTGTATGTTTCCAATTCTGACTCCTAGCTTTAAAAAGGGAAGCACTGACGTGAATACAAGCCTCTGTCAACCCAGGGACCGGATACAATGCTGAATTCCACCTTAAATTGCTGAGACACTGGGCTCCAGGTCAGAGTGGACTTTAATCTGAAGAATTCTTTGGCATAAAAATGAAAATAAAAACAGTAATCAGTACATGCTGTTTCATTTAGTCCTGTTTGCCTTTCATATTAGAGGAAATTCTTGCCACACCTCAAACCAAAATTAAGGAGTAAAGAAAGAAGTTAGCCACATAAATATGACCAAGAGCACAAATATCTTAATTTGAATCCACAAAGTTTTGTATAATGAAAAGAAGTACAAAATTTTAATTCAACCCAACTGTTTTCCAAGCAGATTGTATTTGCTTAAATTGCTACAGTAATTCAATGGACAGCCCTGTCTGGACTCAGAGTTACTGTGGAGTTTTTAAGAAACTCCGTTAGAGAATTTAGGCATTTCTGATTGAGTTAAAGGATTTGCCAATTCATCAATCCCTGAAACTAAAGCAATTTCAACAGGTATGATGATAAAATAATTCTGAACTCTTAAAGAATGTATGCCTACTGTTATAAAAGTAGATTGTATTTGTTTAATAGTAAAATAGACTGCAGCTATCATAAAGGCACAATCTGGGGAAGCAAAATCTAGTAAAAAATTATATTAAAATTTTGATTAGGCAAAATTTTCAGGCAAAAAGATAAGTAAGATGAGTTTAAATTTCTTATTTAAAATTACTCAACAAACAATATTTGTTTAGATTCTTTCTTTATAAATTTTGGCCAAAGGGAAAGATTGTTGGGTTAAAGGAATCAATCTCTCTTTAGTTTCTTGGATCTGATTTTCTACTCTTAATTTTAAATGACAAAAAAACTGCTAATACTTTTGAGTCATAAATCCGAATAGTGATGGTGAATACAGTTGTAGGGAAGGAGTGTATTTGTTCAAAATTTCTTTATGGGACAAATACTGATCTAGAATATTTTTGTTTTCATTTGTATCATTCTCAAAGATTTAAGTGTATTATGGCTAAAAATAACTGATATGCTTTTTTAATAGCAAAAGATTTTACAGAATTAAATTTAAAGTTGTCTTAGAAAAACTCATGTTTAAATAATTATTTATTACAGTAAAATGCTATGATGCTTTAAGTTTCCAGAACTAAGTAAATTATACTTCAATTTTATCAATTTAGATTAGGGCCTACATTGGTTAAAAAAACATGAATGCTTTTCTTTAAGTAAGAGAAATGTTATGAAAAAGACACTCTTATTGTCTTATATGCAAAATTCACATTAACAGATAATTTCTTAAAATTTACATTGTTGCTCTGCTTTAAATTTTCCTCTTCACCTGCCATTTGTCTAATAGATAATATAAGTGAGAAGTATCACATATTGTTATAGAGAAATAAATACAAAAGATAATAGCCAAGTTCTCTAACTTTCTTTCATCTAAAGAAACCACCATGGTGAAATGCCTACAGAAATCATCATTAACAAAGAGAAGCATTATTAACAAGATATAATCTTAACAAAATATATTAAGTACATCATCATTCCACAGATCTCTGACGACTTAGAACCAATGCACTGCACTTAGGCTTTGTTAAAAACTAGAGATTGGGAAATGAGATGGTTGACAGTGAGTTACTGTGATGTTCTGAGTTATACTATAGGGAATAAGGCATCAACTGTAGAATATGGAAACAAAAGTAACAAAATTTGTTACTTAGCAAATGGCTAAGAAGAGATTCATTGGGTAAACTCACTCACAGGGAAAAGTATCACCGGGGACCAGAGGAAGACTAATAAATGACAGGATTTCAGACTAAAAGTTGCTGTACAGGGAAACTTTCTAAAGTGTTCACAAAGACCAGGTAACAACATGAGGAATCCTCTTATCTTCAGAGGCCCTTGTTTGTTAGGAGGTTTTGATCCTAAGACTGGCTGCCATGAAGTATCTGATAAGAGTATTATCAGGATATCCTTTTATTCCAATTTCTCACAAGTGCTGAGCAACAGATTCTAATTCTAAAATGTTGCTAAATCACATATTACTAAAGAGATGAAAGCATTTCAATTTTGGCACTTTCTTTTTTTTGTTTTTTTTTAAGCCTACAGCACCCTGACCAAGCAGTCTCCCATCCAAGTACTAACCAAGCCCGACCCTGCTTAGCTTCTGAGATCAGACGAGATCAGGCGCGTTCAGGGTGGTATGGCCGTAGACGGCACTTTCTTATAGATAAGGATAAGCATAATGTGCAAGTACAAATAATTACTGACCCCACCCCCTTTAAAAAAGTAAGGTCATCATCCAAAAAGAATGACAGGAAATGATGTTTTACAGCCTTGAGAAAATAAGGAAACAAAACAAAACAAAAACCAGTACACTTGGCAAGAGGGAAAGTGGGTGGACTAAGGAAATGCAGCTTCGCCATACTTGAAGTTGTAGCCAAGAACTGAGAATGAGCCCAGTCAGCCAGAGGTTTTCTTTTTCCTCCTTCATAGTCAGCTATGTGAGTCAGAATGAGTGTAGGGAGGAAATTGCCATTTGCCACATGTAAAGAACTCAGAAAGGACAGGGACTGTGCAAAGGAGTAATGAGAACAGTGAACTGTAGCATCCCAGTAGAGGGAACTTAGACTGTAAGGAAGTATGGGTGGAGGCAGTAAAAATCAGTACCATCAACACACAATCGACTCCTCTGAAACTCAGTAACTATTTGTAGTTGGAGGTACTACCTGAAGATATGGTCAGAGTATAGGATGTTCAAAATTCAGAATATGACACTGCTAATTTAGCAGGCTCAGGACATGAGTTCAAAGGAAGAACCAAGTCAAAATCATGGGAGAAAAAGGAGCAAATGGAGCTCTGTCAGAGAAATAGTTACATGATTGATGTAACTATTTTCTTAGTTACACCAATGCTGAAAAACAGGAGGTATCATTCTAGAGGAATAACTGTAAATTATTTCATTAACACAGTGATGTTGGGGCATTCGTTCGTTCACTCATTCATAAAATCCCTGATGAGAAGGGTGGAGAACAAAGGTCTCAGAAAAAAATGATACATTTTTTTCCTTTAACATTTTCCTAAATAATGCTCATTTCAACTGGACAGCAGTTTTCAATTTGCCAAGATCTTTTACATGAATATGTCATGTGATCCTAACTTGGGAGACTGAGGTAGTAAAGACTATTTGAACTTAGGAGTTGGAGACCATCCTAGTAACACAGTGAGACCCTGTCTCAAAAAAAGAAGTGACAGTTTATCTTCTAGGTGACATAAGCAGGAAGACTAAGACAAGACACAAGGTAAGCAGCCAAGACATGGGGCTAGGGAGAGAGCTCCGTCAGCAAATCCTTACTTACCTTGCAAGCAGGAGGAGCTGAGTTCTGAGTTGGTTCCATAGAACCCATGTTAAAAATAAATAAATAAATAAAACCAGGAGTGGTGACCACACTTGTAATCCTAGCACCTGAGAGGCAGAGATGGGCAGTCCCTGTGGCTCACTGGCCAGCCAGCTAGCCTACATAGTAAGAGACTCTTGTCTTTAAAAATTAAAAGGTAGATGATGCCAGATAAATGACACCTGAAGTTTTCTTCACATGTACACACACACACACACACACACACACACACACACACACACACACACACACACGAAGCAATGTATAATTTAACTATAATTACAAATTTCACTTTATTCTTTTTGAGAGGGTGTTTTACTGTATTACTAGATTGGTCTCCGATTCCCAAACTCAAATAATCTGCCCCTGAGCAGGTGGGATTATAGGCATGTGCACATGCCCAGCAACTGCAATTCTTATTTTATTAATAAAGCAAGAGGCAGAATTGTTAAATGACAGAAATGAAATTCAAGTTTTCAGGCTCCTTGTTTAGAACATACTCCATCCTTCTTCAAGTTTCAGCAGAAATAACAGTTATCTGTGAAGCCATAATCCAACTCAATACAACATCCTTAAAATGCACTATAATGTCATTTTAGTATCTGTACATCCAGGCCTTAACTCAAAAATATAATTCAAAGCCAGATATGGTAATGCTCCCTGTAGTCTCAGGACCTGGGAAGGAGAGAGATAAGAGGATCATGAGTTTAAGGCCAGCCTCACTTAAACAGAAAGCTTGAGGCCAATCTTGTCTCAGGAAGAAGGAAGGGAGGGAGGGAGGGAGATAGAGAGAGAAGAAAAAAGCAGTGAAAAAAGGGAGCCAGGAAGGAAACGTGAAAATATTAATCTAATGGAAATTGAAACTTTGCAGGATATAAATATTGTGTACACTTGAGCCTTTTTAGATTTACTGAACAAATTGGAGACAAAATAATTAAGATTTGAGAAACTGGTCCAAGAAGAAAATTTGAAGGTGTAGATAGACAGAAAACTGCAAGAAAAAATATGATAGTGTTTTCTAAATAAGCTGCCACATAAAAAAGAATGTTCTTTTAAAGGACAAGGAAAGATTTCAGTAACAGAAGTAGTAGGGAACAAGACTTTGGTTTAATAAAAATTTGTAATAGGCAAAGCTCTTTAACTGTTCACAGAGGTAGCAACCATCACTACAGACAGGACGGTTGGCAAGAATGCCCAGCATTTACAGTGGAGGGAATACAAGAGTGTGGTTGGGTGATGTCATACTATCATTACAAATCTACAGTCTAGAAAACAAGACAACTAAGATTCTTTTAGAAGATAATGACTGTAGAAAGTGTTGTGCTTAACACATGTAATCTCAGCACCTGGAAGGCAAAGGCAGAAAGATTGCCTGTAATTCAAGGCCAGCTTGGTTTTCATTGTAAGTTCTAGCCAGTAAGGGCTACAAAGGGAATCTGGTCTATAAAAAGAAAACAAGAAAAAGATAGTGACTACTTAGTAAAAAGCCCAGAACAGCACACTTCTGACTTTGTTCAATACAACATGTGATTGTAAATTTTACTTCACAGGTACTTAAACATTAAATTTTGATTTGAGCTTTGCTCATGCTTCCTGAATATTCTGTTATATATAGGCACAAGTATAATAAATCTTATATATGTCAATTTATATGAGAATTATTCTGAGTATTAATCACTTTTCTCTTTGCAATAGGACAAAATAAGAACATGGGCTTTTTAAGTCCAATATATGTTCTTTTCTTCTGTTTTGGAGTTAGAGTATATTGCCAATACGAAGCTTACCAATGGGATGAGGAGTATGACCAAGAGCCAAATGAGGATTATGAGCCAGAATTTCAATTTCATCAAAATGTTGAATATGGAGTGCCTTTTTATCAGAATACTTTAGGCTGTGCTAAGGAATGCTTCTGTCCAATTAACTTTCCAACATCAATGTATTGTGACAATCGTAAACTCAAGACTATCCCAAATATTCCAATGCACATTCAGCAACTCAATCTTCAGTTCAATGACATTGAGGCTGTGACTGCAAATTCATTCATCAATGCAACTCATCTTAAAGAAATTAACCTCAGCCACAACAAAATTAAATCTCAAAAAATTGACTACGGTGTGTTTGCTAAACTTTCAAATCTACAACAACTTCATCTAGAGCACAACAACTTAGAAGAATTTCCATTTCCTCTTCCTACATCTCTGGAAAGACTCCTTCTTGGTTATAATGAAATCTCCACACTTCAAACAAATGCCATGAATGGGCTGGTAAACTTGACTATGCTTGATCTCTGTTATAATCATCTTTCTGATTCAATGTTAAAAGAAAAGAACCTTTCCAAACTGGAAAAACTAATGCAGCTCAACCTATGTAATAACAGATTAGAATCAATGCCTCCCGGATTGCCTTCTTCACTTATGTATCTATCTCTAGAAAATAATTCAATTTCATCTATACCAGACAATTATTTTGACAAACTTCCAAAACTTCATGCTCTAAGAATATCACACAACAAACTGAAAGACATTCCATATGATATATTTAATCTTTCCAACCTTATAGAACTCAACGTTGGACACAATAAATTGAAGCAAGCATTCTACATTCCAAGGAATTTGGAACATCTGTACCTACAAAATAATGAAATAGAAAGTATGCAAAATTTTGCACTTTTTATTTTATTTTTTATTTTTATTTATTTACTTTTTATTTCAGGGCTGAGGACCGAACCCAGGGCCTTGCACTTGCTAGGCAAGCGCTCTACCACTGAGCTAAATCCCCAACCCCAATTTTGCACTTTTTAAAGAACAAAAGATTCTTTTTTGACTGGTATTTTGACTTTTTTTTGGCGGGGGGGGGGGGGGGGGGGGGGGTAATAATGCTGAGACAGGGTTTCTCCATGTAGCTCTGGCTGCCCTGCAACTTCCTATGTAGATCAGGCTCATCCTCAAACTCAGATATATTTGCCTGCTCTGCCTCCCTCATGCTGAGATTAAGACACATACACCAAAATGACTGATGAATCGTATTTTGACTCTTTATAAAGAATGAGTTGTTATTAATAATCTATGCTTTACCTAGTGCTGAAAAGGTTGCTTTGAAGTCAGCTAAGGAAATGGCAGATAGTACCCTGGGGAAAGGGAATGCCGTCAATTTTATAGTCTTTTCTACTCAACTTTACCACCTTGAATATTAGCAAGTAGTATTAGAGAGCATCCAAAGACATATGACTCTGGGTAGTAGGGCTGTGTGTGTGTGTGTGCTTTTTTTTTTTTTGCCTTTGTTTCTTTCTTTATAAGATTGCTTCTACTAAGAAGCAATTATATATTGCTTATATAATCAGTAAAGGCAATGAATTCATATTTATTTTGGTGATATGAGACTCGAGTTTCACTCCATTTTATTTTAATTAATATAAAATAATTAAACCTAACTCCATTTGTAAGTATTATTATAAAATTATATCTTATATAACAAAACTCAACATGGAATTATGACTATCATATGCAAGATGAATTTTTAATTTGTATTTTTCAGACATCAATGTGACAATGATGTGTCCTTCTACTGACCTACTACACCAGCACCATTTAACATACCTTCGTGTGGACCAAAATAAGCTGAAAGAACCAATAAGTTCATACATCTTCTTCTGCTTCCCTCATATACACAGTATTTATTATGGTGAACAAAGGAGCACTAATGGTGAAACAATATTACTGAAGACTCAAGTTTTCAGGAGATATCAAGATGAGGAGGAGGACGATGAGGAGGAGGAAAACCATGATGGTCAGGACAACACTCTTGAGGGTCAAGACGCAACAGAAGAGCACTTTAATTCTCATTATTATGGAATGCAAGATTGGCAAGAAACTATATAGGTATATATTTATGACTTCATAAAGCCATACTAATTACAAATCTAAACATATACTGCTCAAAATAATGTATCTAGAAATATGTGTTCGTATAAGATCAGAATTGCATTTAAGATGCTGGTGACAGTGGCTTCATCTCATAGACTTAGAGCTTACTAAAAATGCTGCAAATCTTAAGAAATAAAAGATAGAATGGCAAGTGGGAATAAAAATTAAGCTCAAATGGCTTTGTTCTTTAAACGTATTCTTTAAACTTAGAAATATTATCATGTAAAAAACAAGCAAGGGCAAGCAAAATGGCTCAGCAGATAAAGCATTTGTCGCCAAGCCTGATGACTTGAGTGGGAGAGACCCAACTACTGCAGGTTGTCAAGTTTTCCTCTAACCACATGGGTGCATGCCAATAATAATAATAAGAACTTCATAAAACCTTTTGAGTATGCCACTTCCAATGATGGGATTTTGTTTTCTAGAGATGATAAAGTAACAGTAACACTGAAGATAAAAGCTGCCCTCTAGACTATAAGAGGATATCTGAGTAAGAGGAATGATATTAACCTAACAGTAGTGTTTCATTCAAGAATGAAACTTTTATTGATTTTTGTCTACAGAGTTGCTTTCACATTTGTATTTTCTCTTCCCACCCCCCCACCCCCCCCGCCCCACCTTTGTTTTTTTTTTGAGACAGGGTTTCTCTATATAGCCCTGGCTGTCCTGGAACTCACTCTGTAGACCAGGATGACCTAGAACCCACAGAGATCTGCCTGCCTCTGCCTCCTGAGTGTTGGGATTAAAGGCCTGTGCCACCACTGCCTGGCTTATTCTTTCTTTCTTTCTTTCTTTCTTTCTTTCTTTCTTTTTCTTTCTTTCTTTCTTTCTTTCTTTCTTTCTTTCTTTCTTTCTTTCTTTCCTCTCTCCCTCCCTCCCTCCCTCCCTCCCTCCCTCCCTTCCTTCCTTTCTTCCTTCCTTTCTTTCTTTCTTTCTTTCTTTTTTTGGCATACTTGTATTTCTAATCCTACTAAGATAGGTGTCCCAGGTTCAGTGCTCAGAATGATATTTTTGATTTTCAAAGTCACCATTCTAAGATCTAAGGCATACCATTCAGAAAATTAAGTGATCTTTTCTCAGAGCACCACAGCAACCAAATTATCAATTCTGTATCTGCTGTATCTGGATAACTAATAAAAAAAAAAACAAGCCGGGCGGTGGTGGCGCACGCCTTTAATCCCAGCACTCGGGAGGCAGAGCCAGGCGGATCTCTGTGAGTTCGAGGCCAGCCTGGGCTACCAAGTGAGTTCCAGGAGAGGCGCAAAGCTACACAGAGAAACCCTGTCTCGAAAAACCAAAAAAAAAAAAAAAAAAAAAAAAAAAAACCAAAAAAAAAAAAAAAAAAACAAATTCCCTCAGTGTAATCTATATTTTAGGAGATTTCAGCAACTATTTAAAATACTCTATATCATGTTCTACTTCCAACTAGATTAATGTTTTTAATACTAAACTGGAGAAAGGCCTCAGGTAGTTATGTGAAGACTTGCTAATAACTGCTTTATTTACAGGTTATATTAATATTGATAAAATAGTTTTTACATATTATTAAACCTTTCTGTTTTCCTGGCACTAAATAACTACAAGCACACATCTATATTAGCCAGTATTTATTTACATGCACTAAAGTTGACTATAGTTCCTTTGAAATTTGATGGACACAGGCTTTGATATCACCTATAAAACCTTAAAAGTCACTTGCATTCTCTAGTCCATTTTGAAGTATTTTAAGTATGCTTTATGATGAATATTCTAACCATTGTGATGAACTGTCTTATTTGCCAGGCATTTATGATTCATGTTCCTGATAAAAAGGAACAAATGCATGCCAACACAAAGAATCCAAAAACACATGATAAAAATTCAGACAATGTGCAATGAACAGATGGGCATACTGTAATTTGGAAGTATTCTGAGTGCTGAAGCCTCTATTGTTTTTCTACCTTTGAGTAGGTTGTTAGCATTAACAGGAGAACAGGGATGCCCACAGGTGTGGAGGTGACAATGCATAATGAACACAAACCAAACTCCAGCCATTCATTTAGCCATCCACACTGAGTCAGTCAGTGTAGAAGGCATCGCAGTGAGAGATCAGGAAAGAGCACAAGAAGCGAAAGTCACACAAAAAAGTGAAGCCCAAGAATCAAATACTAGTGGTATATGCTAGGCATCCCTGGGACACAGGCCTTAACGTCTAGTTGATTCTCCTGAAATGTTTTAAAATGGGATTATAAATGCAATTATTTATTATGAATGAAAATATAATACTGTGAGTTTCAAGAGATATGCAAGTTCAAACAATTTTTCTAACTTCCATCATTTTAAAAATTAAAAAGAGCCACTAAGGAAATGCAAATCAAAACCAAAATAAAACACTACCTTTTTCTCATTACAATGGCAGCAACCAAAAGACAGGCAAATAACAAGTCTTGGTGAGAGAAGACAGAAAGATTGCTACCCTCACACACAGCTGAGAGGACAGAAAATAATACAGCTCTTTGGAAAGTTCCAGTTAGGTATGAATCAACCTTTCTACTTCCAGGTATATGCCCAAGAGAACTGAACACAGGTTCACACCAAAGTTTGCTCAAGACCATCCACAGCAGCATTATTCATGAGTCTAAAAGAAGAAACCAATAGCTGGTATGGTGGCACAAAGCTGTGTAATCCCAGCACTTGGGTGTGGAGGGTTGACCAGGAAGTTCGGGAGTTCAAGCCATATACAGCAAGTTTGAGACTTGCATAAGTCTCAAAAAAGAACTGATGACAGGGTTTCCTTTATAAGTAAAAAAATTTTCTAAAATTATTGTGATTATATAAACACCTGAAAATACAAAAATGATTGAATTTGTACACTTAGGGTGAATTGCATTGTATGGGAATTAGTGCAACAAAGTAGTTTTTTTTTTTTTTAATCACTCAGCTTACTCTAACACAAGGTATAAACAAACAAAATGGTGAAGAGGCAGAAATGATAAACCAGGTAACCATGGATACCATAACTAATTTCTGGCCTGGACCTGGTTAAGCAGCTGAAACTTCAGGAAGAAGTGACACTGTGATGTGGCAGGAACCGACCAGCAGAAGCAGAAACTATCATAGGTTAATGTAAAGAAGTAGTAATTATTTGAACTCTTGCACAGTTAAAAAGTAATTCTCAGTTTTGTTAAATCTAGAGATTATTTCTTCATTTCTTTGTAAGTTAAAAAAAATACATTTAATTTTACAAATCACTCTGAAGATATGTAAGTAAACGGTCACAAAATCCCTCCTGATCAAAACCCAGAGGATGTAGGACTACAATCTTTTTAGTACTATTTAGAAATGCCACAGTGAGAGCCGGGCGGTGGTGGCACATGCCTTTAATCCCAGCACTCTAGAGACAGAGCCAGGCAGATCTCTGCGTGTTCGAGGCCAGCCTGGTCCACAGAGTGAGATCTAGGACAGCCAGGACTACATACACAGAGAAACCCTGTCTTAAAAAAACTAAAAACAAAACTGAAAAAAAAGAAAAAAAGAAAAAAGAAATACCACAGTGAACTTAAACCAACTCAAGGATTTCTCAGTAAACATAAAGCAAATTAAAAAGTTCAATGCTTTTCCTCAGAAAACTGAAGAATGAAGACTTGACCTTCTACAGCAAGTCAGTTACCTCTATCAGAATCAGAGAATCAATTATAACAGGAAAGAAAACCATGAGCATCTACTCTTCACACTGGATAGTGTTTGGATATATTAGGAAAAGAGCTAAACTGCTTGTAAGGGCCAACAAAACATGCACATCATACCAAAAATCTAAGATTAGTCAACAAAAATAAATACATTAGCTTTTAGAAAGGAAATAAAAATAAAGGATCCTTCAGGAAGCACAGATTTTTTTAACTTACTCCTCAACTTAGAGACTACTAAGCTAAAATACAGATGTACACATATCATATAACACATTTAACCATCTCTAGGAGGGAAGAAAGCAGAAAATATACAAAACAACAACAACAAAACACCAAAAAATCAAAACTTCGTCTCTTCTATAGACTTTCTGTGTTACAAAGAATTCCTGTCCCCAAGGATGGCTGGAACTAAAATCCTAGTTTCCTGATTCAAAATGAATTTTCCCCCTCTAAATCTTGGAAATAAAGTAAAAGAGCAGCTGGAAATAAAATTACATCATGACATCTAAAATCTCAAGTTTCTCAGCGGTTCCAATTTCTTATAAAGCATCTCATGCCTAGTTTAAGTAACTGTATTTCCACACTAAGCACTGGTGCAAGCAGCAGCATGTCATGCACACCTTTCATCACTAGAAAGTGTTCAGGCTGTGAATACATTATACAGAGATGTAGACACATAAAAGAAAAAACTAAATTCAAAGATGAAGTACCTTAAGAAAGCATTAACTTGTCCTCACACTGCACCACAACCTCCTTCCCCTTCCTCTGTAAGTTACTTACACCCTCGTCACTTTCATGTAAACCAAAGATCTCGGTTCATGTAAATACATGAAATTTAAGACAACGTGCTTGCTATAAGGTCTCAGAATGTTGGATTTTAAAAAGTTTTAAGTATTTAGTAACTCAGTATTTCTCACAGGCACGGTTTTAAAAAGTAATTTATTTTTGTTTATATTTATGAGAAAACATTGGAGTGCCCACCACATATGCTCAGGTGCCCAAGGTAGTCAGAAGAGGGAATTGGAACCCCAGAGCTGGAGTTACAAGTGGTTGTGATCTGCCCAAGTAGGGTGTTAGTATCCTAATTTAGGTCCTCTAGAAGAGCAGCAAGTGCTCTTGACTGCTAAGCCATCTTTCCAGCTGCTAAACGTTTGCTCACCCATCTAATAGCTATAATGCGTAGCTAGGTGACGGTTAGCCTTTAGTTTTCTTAAGGCTTTTATTTGGTTTTTGTTGTTGTTGTTGTTGTTTTTTATTCTAGAGATAGGCTCTTGTTGTGTAGCCTTGGCTAGCCTACAATTAAAAACAAACAAACAAACAAACAACCTGCCTGGCTTTGCCTCCCAAGTGCTGGGATTAAAAACAGGCTCTACTATGGCTGGCCAAGGGACTGAGACTCCTCGGGGCTGGAGAGGTGGGTAGGTGGTCAAAAGCACTTGCTACTATTCCAGACGATCCATGTTAAATCCCCAGCACCCACATGGAGGCGCATGACCTTAACTCCAGTTCCAGGGGATCTGACCCTCTCTTCTGGCCTCCTTGGGTATCAAGCATGCAGGTAGTACACAGAATACATGCAGGCAAAATACCCATCACATAAACTTGAAAGAAAGGAAGAAAACTGAGCCCCAAAGAAACTAAAGAACTTCCCCAAGATCAAGTGAGGCCATATTGAGGGAATCAAAGCTTAGAACTCAGAAAAGTATTCTGACTCTACAGTTTCCGATGAAGTCAGATGATGATGTTGAAGATAGAGAAAATACCAACCCACTGGATAGTTGGTTTCTGTTCGTACATTCTCTCTTCTCTCCTCTCCTCCTCTCTCTCCCCCTTCTATTTTCCCAGAAAACCCTTGCTTCTTGTCTTCTTTTTTTTCCTTTTTTTTGAGACAAGGTCTCACT